CTTTCTTAAAAACTAAACCAACCAACCAAACCCCAAACAAACCAAATCAAACAACACAAAATACACAACTCTGATACACCCCATTTGCTACAAGCATTATGGAAGAGCTGCATCTAAATTTGACTTCAAGACAAAAGAAAGAGTTCTATACTATTGTGTATCCATGTATTTGACAAGCTAAATGAATTAGGTTTTATGTTTTATTGACATGTCATAGACTCAGTTGAGCTTTTACATCCAGTAAAGAGAAATGAAGAAAACAAAGTATTTTACAGTGTCTTTATTACGAAAACCTTAAATTTAGGAAAGCTGAGTGACTCCTCATTGGTTTTTTTTCTAGAGCATTAATGTTCAGTTCACTGCAATTAGTCATTTAAATTCAGCATGTCAAAACCACTAATAAAAGGTTCATGTAAAAGGTATTTATGTACTTATTTAGAAGTCATATTTAAATGAGTTGACCAGTCACTGACAGCGTTAATTAAAATTATGACTGATAAGTGGTTTAAAATTATTTACTGTTTTTATGAAACATTGATACACTCAGATTGGAACTGATGTTCTGTTTTCCTCCTGTAGCCAATTGTTATTTAAAGCCTGCATCTATGGCATCACATAATTAGGTTACACAACAGATGTTTGGAAACCACAATGGCAGAAATGCTTAAGTTAAATACAAGATAACAGTCCTACTTATCTTTAATATACTTGGTTACCAAAAATAAAAAATATCACTCTTCTGCTATTTTTTCCTATTTGAAAATACAGCAAGAAATACCAAACTATTCTAAATATCACCATTTATTTGAAAACAAAAGCAGTATACAAAACAACACCTTGTGCTAAGAACAGTCTGCAGGTGATTTGTCAGGTTTGGAGTTTTTGTTTGTTTGGGGTTTTTGGGGGGTGTGTGGTGTGTTCCATTTGTTTGGTTTTTTGATTGTTTGCTTGTTAGTTTTTTTAAAACTTTTTTACTCAGACTACAGCCCCTTAGGCACAGATTTGTCTTCTTCCATGTTCTAAAGAATGAACAGCATAGTGTTGGCTAATAATCCTTTCCCCAAAATGCAGGCTTTTTACTGAAAAAAATCACTGTCTGCTCATAGGAAAAAGCTATCAGATTTTCAGGCTTTAAATACCAAACATAAGTTTGTTATCAGAAACCTTTATTTACAGGCCTATTAAGGTCCCAAAATGCCTTGACAAAAAGGCTTTTTCACCTTTACAACACTGGGCAGACAGCTGCTTCTTGACAAAAAGGAATAAACAATGGCATTTCCAACCAAAAAATACCACTCTCTAATATGTTCATTCAGAGTACCAGGATATGGCAGCATTTATAGGAAGATGGAATATTCAACAACACAAACACCCCTTAACTTCAAAGGATACACCAGAACCACAGGAAAAAGCATCCCCTACCGCCTCTTACAGCACACAGCCAGACTCAACGGGGCAGTATTGCTTTAGAAGACATGCACATATGTGACATTTCTTAAGAAACTCCATTACACTCCCATACAACAGTAGGCAAAGCAAATTTCATGAAATCTTAAGGAAGTTCACTGAAATACACTTAAGATGTTTTTTGAAAGGACAGAATGAGAACACTCATTTTGCAAAAATATGACACCAGACGTACAAAATTATTTTTGCAATGATGTTTAATAAAAAAATAACCTGTGCATACTTTTTTGTTCAAGGATAGCAAATGAAGTTGAGCATTTATTAAAAGCTGAACATACATAGCTGAGCAGAGGAAAAGAATTAATCTCTCAACTTACTGCTGAAAAATGCTATCTCCATCTCTTTATAGTTTTTTTCCCAAATAAACAAACTATTGTACACTTCTTATCTTTATAATAAAAACATCCAATAGAAAAGAATTGTACAGTTTTGAGGACCAAATGTTAAAAAACTCTAGTCAGATTTTTAAGAAATGTAAAAAAGTGTTCACAGACATCTGGTTCATGCAATTAGCTATTGATTTCTACTAGCTATTAGCTAATTGTTAGCTATTAATTTCTGTGAAATTAACTAGCAACAGAAATGATGATTTGTGAAGCTTATGCAAGTGTAAAATTGGAATTATAAAGATTACAGATTTTAAATAAACCAAGTTTAAAGAGTTATGCAGAAAAATGTTTAAAAGGTCACTACATAAGGCTTGAAATGCACACAGTATAAACAATTAATTAAATTCTGACCACAAATACAGCCATTATACAACAGAATGAAGTATAAAGGCCTAATGTCTTGTTTACTTACGCTCGGGTATAATTTGTACAGACCCTGACTCAGAGTAAAATATGTTATGTTTAAATTTGCCCTTATATTCACTTACACAGTCTTACTTAGGAAGTCTGAAAACAGAAAGGTGGTCTTGCAAACTTGTTACATTATGACAGTTACTGTCTCCCAAATCATGCCATCCAAATGGCTAGACTTTGTCCTCCCATGTGTTTTGAAGCAGGTGCTCTATAGAGCAGAAATAACATAGGCCCATTACAGGATGAGGATGGTCACCTCACAAACAGGGGCATAGACAAGACAGAGATGTTTCATGCTCTTGTCTTTAACACCAAAAGGCTAAGGGAGTCCCAGTGCCCTGAACTGGAAGACCACGGCTGTAAGAATTATAAACTCTCAGTGGATCTTGAACTTGTGCAGGATCTGCTGCTCCAACTGGATCCCCGTAAGTCTACGGGGCCTGATGGGATTCATCAGAGAATATTCAAAGAGCTGGTTGATGTCATCACAAGGCCTGTTTCCATGATCTTTGAAGGGTCTTAGGAATCTGGAGAGGTCCCAGTTGACTAGAGGCTGGCAATTCTTGTCCCAGTTTTCAATAATGACCTAGCAAACTACAAACTTGTCAGTCTCACTTCACTGACTGGTAGAATTATGGAGAATATTGTTTTGGGAGGTACTGAAAACCACTCAGAGGACAACAAAGTCATCGGTCACAGTCAGCAGTGTTTCATGAGGGGAAAGCCCTGCTTGTCAAATCTCATTTCCTTATGTTACAGCAAACGGGGTTACATCAGGCTGGTGACCAGACACTAGTGTGCTCTGCAGGGCACCATATTACGTCCAATTCTCTTCAACATCTTCATAAACCACTTGGACACAGGACCTTGAACAAATACCAAGTAACTTTGGAGATGATACAAAATTGGGAGGAGTTGTTGATTCCCTCCAAGGCAGAGGCCTTGCAGAGAGAGAAGGGCAAGTACTGGATTCTGCTCCCGGTATGAGGCAACCCCGGATGTATGTACAGACTGGGGAGCAAGAGACTGAAGAGCAGCCCCACGGAAAGGGATCTGGGTGTCCTGGTCAATAGCAAGTTGAACATGAGTCACCAGTGTGCCCTGGCAGCCAGGAGGACCAACCACGTCCTGGGATGCATCAGGCACAGCATCGCCAGTCGAGGGAGGTGACTGCCCCACTCTGCTCTGTGCTGGCATGGCCTCACCTTCACTGCTGTGTCCAGTTTTGGGCACCACAATATAATAAAGATATAAAGCTATGAGAGAGCATCCAAAGGAGGGCTACAAAGATGGTGAAGGGCCTAGAGGGGAAGCCATACAAGGAACAGCTGAGGTCAATTGGCTTGTTCAGCCTAGAGAAGGGGAGGCTTAAAGAACACCTCATAGCAGTCTACAACTTCCTCACGAGGGGAAGCAGAGGGGCAGGTATGGATCTTTCTATCTGATGAACAGTGACAGGACACAAGAGAATGGCACGAAGCTCTGTCAGGGAAGTTTAGGTTGGATATTAGGAAAGAGTTCTTCACCCAGAGGGTGGTTGGGCACTGCAACAGGCTCCCCAGGGAAACGGTCACAGCACCAAGCTTGCCAGAGTTCAAGAAGACTGGACAACATTTGGACAACACTCTGAGGCACATGGTAATACCACTACATTAGATATAACAAGTGAGAAGAGAGACAAGGAAAAAAAGAGAAGAGGAGATGTAAGCATGAACACCTGGTAAGTCCTTCTGTGTGACCAACAGCATGACATCAGTTCAAATTACCAGTGTTGCACATAGGGGAAAAGGGTACTTTTCCTCAATAAGAAAGAGACAGTTTCTCAAAATTCAATTTTGGATTACTCACACTCCTAACAGTTTGAACTAAATTAATCAGTTTGGCTTGAGTCATTCTTAAAGTACTTCTTAGTCACAGACCAGAAAAGGGAAGCCGTTATGTAAATCAAAACTGTTGAAATGTAATTAAATCAGATTTTAATTTAGGTCAGGAAAATCCTTTCTTAATCCTATCAGTGTATACTTAGAAGTATGTTATCTGCTAGTATAAGCATAAAAAGTCTGGAAGGCTCTGTGAGAAAAATAAAGTTGTGCTGCATGAGAGACAAAGTTTTTCAAATCCTAACGTGAGAGGGTTTAACTATTTCCTAATGCTAAGAAGTATACTGGAAGATAAACCACTTATGTCTAAAGGGTCATGGGAACACTGCTCATTCCCTAAACTGGACCTAAATGCCCTTTGATATTTTTATGTACTTTTTATAGGTGATACGATACATCACACATGAAAAACGTTGTTTTAAGAACAAGTAGGAGAGCAAAAATTTTAAGGAAAAGAGCACAGTGATTAATAAGAAAAGTTCTATCTACTTTCAAATGAAAGAAAGATGAAAAATATTTCATCCGTACAGAAAGCAAGAGCTTTTGCTTCTCTCCTTGAAAAAACTATCCAGCAGGAAAGTTTATGAAAACATACAATGACTATTAAGACTAGGAAGCTAAACAAACTGAAATAACGGAGTCTTGTGATGGTCCCAAAATGTGGAGTCAGCCAGCAGATTGCCCATGCACAAGGACTTGACTAATTACTGTACAGCTGTAATTGGTAATCTGATATATTTAAATCTTAGCCTACAAGAACAAAGTATTACTATTACAGTGAAGAACAACATAAGTCATCTCAATATTATTAGGAATATGAGTTTCCAAACAACAATTCCACTTCACTTACCGTGTTTCTGATTGGAATTTTCTTCGGTTCTGTTGGCACATCCTGAGGAACAAATTTCACTGGTTCCTTAATCTGCCTCCTTGATCTTTTGGTCCCATCTGGCAAGGTTTCCATGGCGATATCAGCCTCCATGTCACTGCTACCTGCCTGGTCACACTCTGAGCATTGCCTGCAAAGTGGAAGATTTTCTTTTTAAGACTGCAGTCACAAAAGCAGAAAAATAAACATACTGAAGTGTTTGGGTTTAAGATAAATTCAAAAGTCAAGAAATCAAATGGACACCTAAAGAAGTAAATTTTAAACAACCAAGCAAAACAACAAGTCGTTCTTATTGCTGCCTTTATTCCTGATAGTATTTAACTTTGAAAAACAAGATTTTGAAAGGAGGAATTAATCTTAAAGAAAAATACACTCTATTTCACCGCTTTCATTCTACCACATCCTCATTTTTAATGGTGCCCACTGATCTGTAATCTATTCATTATTGTAACTGCTGCTGCAGGTTAACGACAGAATTATACAGTGGTTTGGATATGAAGGGATCTTAAAGATCATCTAGTTCCCACTCCCCTGCCATGGACAGTGACACCTTCCACTAGACCAGATTGTTAATCTTAACAATGGCATGCTGCTGAATTCATTCTGATGAGAACATGCTGTATTGGCAGGGATTAAGATGTTTGTTATGGAAACAAATTTTAATATTTATTTTCTAAGGGAGTTGGGTTTAAATCTGAAAAAATTAGTTAAGAGACAAAGATATAGAAGATGGAGACATATATTAACAAACTTTGAACACCGAGTGGGAAAAAATGCCTACTGCTTTTGAAAAAATACAAAATTAGAACTTCAAAAGTGAACAGATGCTAAGGTAATGCTATTAGCAAGCTCTATGACAGAATTAACAAGATAGGAATCCATCAAGATTTGTACTTATTTGCAGAAAATACTCATCGCATGCAAAGTCATAAATGTGGATATTCACTAAAAATATGTTAATGAAATTTTAAAAATTATACCCACTGGTAAGAGCCAGTTTTTAATTACTATTCACATTACACTTCCAATTAAAAGAACTATAAATCTTCTCAAATGAATTACAATTCACCACTGCTCTCACATTAAACATGTTTTTTTAATAATACCATCCAAAATAAAATTTTTTTGCAAAAAAATAATTTAAAAAAATCAACATTATGCTCTGCTATTGAGTGGTATTAAGGGATAAACACATTAAAATTATCTAAATGAAGGAGCAAATTTGCTTTGGAAGGAGATGAAGAAAACCTGTGTATTTAATTATTTGAAGTTAAATGTTAATACACACTTGTGACAAAAAGGCATATCCAGCCTGTACAAACAAAGGCACAAAGTCAGATATGTATGTTGTGTTTGAGCAGATGTCTTCAAATTTACACATTCAACAGGAACAGTTTTTCTCTTGTGACCTTCAGTAAGGGCTAACACAATATCAACTCCACCAGCTTTTTCTATTTCTTTCAAACTAATCCAAGCAGGAAAATCTCAGATCTCTTCTGGCAATAGCAGAGACAACAGGAGTCATCACAGCCTGCTAGATAGAACGGTGGCTACCAAGTCAAAATACAGGAGATCTAATCCTGAATTGCCTTAACATGTCAGTGTAACTCTGACTAATTCAAGACCTTTCTCCTTCAAACTCTCCATATGCAAAATTTAGACAGTTGTGGCTACATTGTAATGTTATGAAGATTAATCACCTCATCTCAAAAGCACTTGGGACTACAATAAATAGGACACACGAGTGCTAGTAGTATTTGCTGGTCTAGCAAAGCAGTCGTACTACATGGTAGACTGCAGGAAAGATAAGTCTCTCCTCTGCCTTATAGAAGTGGAGGTTTTATCAGTCGCCAAAGCACAAGGAAGACAGTTTATGCAATTTTTAGATTTTTCAAACAGTTTTGGGCCAGCATACAAGTGTATGGTATTCATTCTTGCTCCTCTCTACAGAACTCAGTTTGCTACACACATAGTATCTGTTAACACTTCTAGGCCTCTTTAGGCCGCTACAAGCTAAATCCAATAGAAAAATATAAGGTACAATATGTACATATGATTTAAATAATTCCTGTTCTTTAGCTCTGCACTATTAAAAGGGAAAGACAATGTTTTTCTGCTACATGTGTTCAGAGAGTTGTATAGAAAATAACCATGCAGATCAGTAGAGTCCTGTAGCTTCATTACTATCCTATTTAAATATAAATAAGTGAAGTATTTTAACTTTCATGTTACTGAGGAAGATAAGAAGCATCTCCACCAAAAGATACTACATGAAAGTTCCTTAAATTCCATTTTTATGAACGAGCTTGCTCAGAAACAGGTGGTGCAAGTGTCACAGCAATCAACACTAGAAGAAAGCTACATCAAGGGGGAAAAAGAAGCAAAATTATAGCATGATGATGGGGGCATTGTGTGAATCACAGAACAAAACTTCGCAACTACATCAAAGCTGAGGGGGAAAAGCAAAGTTACAAACATGAACTTACAAGCAACCACTTGATTTACTGGAATAGCCTCTACTATCACAGTCAATCACATCTCATCAACCCTATTATAAAGCAGACAAGCTTCAACTACAAAGCAGTGTGGTTGCTTGCTCCCATAGGGCCAGAGGAAAGCTATTACAGACACACACTCTTCTGACTTGGAAACAATCGCCTTTCAGCTCCTATTATGCTTTATTTCAACACAGTTCTTCAATTTAAAGAACTCTTTTCCCATTCTGCTGTTTAATCCCAATACGTTCATAGAAAGCAGCCATATGACTCCTTTTTGGCTATGCGAAAGTCATGCTCATTTAATTTCACCTTTTCAGGGACAAGCAGTGAACAGAGTGCCTACCACAGCAGGTCACCTTTACAACCATTCCAACAATCTCTGACTACCTCTAAATTAGCAAGCATTGGCATGCAGCATAAACAAATTAACAGGAGAAATGCTGCCAAAGATTCAACTTTCTGTACACAGGCTTTGTTTTGCTTTTAGTCTGGACTTGCCTAATCTAGACCCACAGAGAAAATCAGCAGTAGACAATTATACGCCTACTACTAAAATTACTGGAAGTGTTTGTTCCATCAAGAAATCTCAATATTGACTTGAAACCTTTTAATCATAAAGAAAGTCTCTGATTAAGTACTAACAACCTACAGAAGAAAAGAAGTTGTGTGATTTTGTTGTATTTTCAATCTAACTTGGTACAAGAATGAACAGTACCAGAAATAACTTCCCATTTCACAAAGCAAATGGATCTTATCAACTCACTAGCAGTGACTTGGGAAAAAAGTAAATTTAAATCTTCTGTGCTCAGTGAACACTGCTACAGTGCTTTGAGAAAGCAGTTCTGTCCTCAGAGTTTAAAGAGGAAAATTGTACAGTTGTTGGTCAGAATTTGGCTTTTTTTCAATTAAGAAGAAACAGATCTTGCAGACACACTCTTGTGACGCATCACTTCTTGCAATATTTACAAAGAATTAAACCACTTAGAACCTGAGAAACATCGACCACAGCCTTAGATGACACCTACGCTCTATAAATCACACATGTTGAATGACGTACTAGAAGTGGGAAAAAAAAAGAGGGCTGCTTTTATTCTGGAGATGAAAGCCAGTATATATGAACCAAAAATAGTTTGCCAAAGAACTTCAAAGAGCATCTTACAGACAGTAAAGGTACTGAAAAATTGCCATTTGCAACCACCTCGATGTCCTTCAATTAGGACAAGTGACAAACACATAAAAATGCCTATGTGAGATGCAACGTCATATTGCAATCATGCTTATATAAGCTAACAATTTTATATCATTACCCTATGATGCAGGATGAAAAAACGTTCAAGATGTGCCGGATCAGTACTGAATGAGTGAGGTCAAAAATATGAATGAATGTCCAGATACTGAATGAGTGTTCATGGGAATACTGGTCAGGAACTCTACAACTCACTCTGTCCTGTGGCAAATACTCCCCACAGCAGAGCCAGCACTAAAACAACTTGGCCTTCTAGAAGAACAAGAAAACCCACCAAGCTTAATATGATCATTAGCCCTTGTTTCGTTCATCTCAGCCCAGGTATTTCATATGGTACCAGAAGTTATGACTGTTTTTCAGCAATCTCAGTTCAAAAGAAAGGGTTAATCCCTGTTGGTAGCTGTCAAGTATTTTCTTAATGAAAATCTCAGTATTTTAAAATCAGATTTTGATCTATTCTACTGTCTGTCAACACTTGTGCATTGCCTTTGTACCAGTTAAGATCATTCTCTACCAGGAAAATACTCAGTGCCCAATCCATCCAGAACAGCCAGGGGCATAAAAAGCACACAAATTGTGAGCAAGAATGATAAGACATAATATTAGGTTAATGTGTGAATCAAATTAATATTCTAGTGTTTAATCAATAAGATTGCTAAGAAACTGAAAATTCCAAACCTTCACGTACACCACGGCCTCTTACTGTACGCTTAAAACTCCTGATGTAGGAGTTGAACTCAATCCTTGTGGGCCCCTTGTGGGATATTTATGATTCTACTTTAAAAGCACATCATCAGAACTGACAGAAATTAATGCTTTAATGTATTACTATGAAAAACAGTTCCTATGCTCTTCGTCTCAAAATAAATCCATTTGAAATAAGGACAGGTTTTGAACCTACTATGGTACAAACAATTTTTTAGAAATGTATAAATGTTACCTTGAAGAAAACTGTCAAGCCTCTGAACAATGGAAATGCTTTGTGCTAAGTGCTTGAAACCAGTTTCTAATAAGCTGTGAGACATTGGTGCTCACCAGGTCTAAACCCTTACTAAAATTTCATGAAAATATTGCCTCCTTTTAAAGTTCAGAAACATTGAGATAATCAATTATAATTTGTGCTTTCTTTAACAATTAACTTTTAAACATATTTTTTTTCTCTTACCATTAACAGGTAATAGTAGATTTTATTAAAAAATATTCAAAATCCTTTTTGCCAAACCACAATTAAAATGCTGAGCATGAAATGGACAAGTGTAACTACTAACTAATCTACACAGCATCACATGCATAACCTAAATCAACTGGCATCCTCAAACACAGCATGAAAGACGAAGTATATGGAATAAACTCATGCTAAGCTACTCATTGTTCAAATAAACATGTACTGGTGAAGTATATTACTCTAATCATCAAACCTTTTGCAAAGGCTAAAGTTAGCAATTATGAGTAAATTATTAGCAGTGATAATGGAAAACAAAGCAAACAAAAAAGCTCCAAACAACTACTCTGAACGTTTTCCTGCTTACTGTTTTAGAAGAGATCTAAACTCAACCTCTTAAATAGTCTTTCAACATGCCTAACATTTCAAGGAATTTCCCACTATACCCATTTTCTTTTATCTTTTTGGTTAAGTTTCCATTATATCCTATACAAATACCTGAAAAGTACATGGCCCCCGTCTAAAAAAAATTGCACTTTTCTTCATATCTTAATCAAAAGATAGAAATTGTTTAGAAGAGATCTAAACTCAACCTCTTAAATAGTCTTTCAACATGCCTAACATTTCAAGGAATTTCCCACTATACCCATTTTCTTTTATCTTTTTGGTTAAGTTTCCATTATATCCTATACAAATACCTGAAAAGTACATGGCCCCCGTCTAAAAAAAATTGCACTTTTCTTCATATCTTAATCAAAAGATAGAAATTGCAAACAGCAGG